GGGAAAAAATAAATAAATAAATAAATTGTTTGGAAAAAAAAATAAAAACAAAGTGGATCTGGCATATTCTAAGCGCTAAATTAAATATAGCTATTATTAATAGTAACAATGGAAATAACATTCTAAGAGTATAGTTCCATGGATTGACATAAAGAATGTGAGACCTTTCCTGCATAGCAGTTGGGTAGAAATAGTGATAATTCAACCAAACGTTCAAAATGACATTCCCTGCTTTCTCCTAATCAGCACTCCTACCTTAGAACACTTGTTAGTAAAAGGCACAAAATCCTTACAGGTAATAGAAACAGTGCATATGGCAGGGAGGTAATTATTATTTACCATCATCACATAATTAGACATAATTTCAACAATGGCCCAAACACAGACTACATGAAAAAATATTCCATAGGAAACACAAATTAACGACAAGAGAATCCAAGTTGATGGTGCGATTTGTAAGGTCCAGCAGGCACTATCCCTTTTGCATCAGGCCAGAGAGGAGCATTAGGATCACGGACCAGCCAGGCATTTGGGTCTTTCTTGAGAATGGAGTTAGGGCTGAGAGTGTTCTCTGGCTCAGTCTCTGGCAGGGTGGCTCTGTCTGTCAGTGAAGGGGACTAATAATTTAGCTAGACTTGAACTTTCTTTCTGTTAAACCGGTGAGCACCCTTCTGCTCCAGCTGTTCTTTATTTCTCTCTCCTTTCTTCATTCATTCAACAGTCATTGTGTAGCTGCCATGTGCTACGGGCACTGTCCCAGGTAAACCATTGATTTTTTAAATGTCTGTATAGTTTTGCCTTTTCCAGAAAGTCATATAGTTGGAATCACACAGTATGCAGCCTTTTCAGACTGGCTTCTTTCACTTAGCAAAATGCATTTAAGGTTTCTTCATGTCTTTTCATGGCTTAATAGCTCATACAATATTCCATTGTATGGATGTTACCACAGTTTGTGTATCCATCCCCTTATTGAAGGACATCTTGGTTGCTTCCAGTTTTTGGCAACTATGAATGAAGCTGCTGTAAACACTCATGTGTAGGTTTTTGTGTGGACAGAAGTTTTCAACTCATTTGGGTGAATATCTGGAAGTATGATTGCTCAGCCATATCATAAGAATATGTTCAGTGTTATAAGAAACTTCCAAGCTGTCTTCCAAAGTGGCTATCCCACTTTTCATTCTCACTAACAATGAATGAGAGTTCCTGTTGTTCCACATCCTCAGGAGCTTTGGTATTGTCAGATTTTTGGATTTTAGTCATTCTAATAGGTGTGTAGTGGTATCTCACTGTTGTTTTAATGTGCAATTCCCTAATGACATATGATAATGAGCATTTTTTTCATGTGTATATTTGCCATTTGTATATCTTCTTTGGTGAGGTGTCTGTTCAGTTATTTTGCCCTTTTTGTAACGGGGTAGTTCATTTTCTTACTGTTGAGTTTTAAGAATTATTTGTGTATTTTGGATAACAAACCTTTATCAGGTGTGTTTTTCAAATAATTTCTCCCAGAAGTTTTATAGTTTTGCATTTTACATTTAGATCTATGATTCATTTTGAGTTAATTTTAGCGAAGGGTATAAGGTCTGTACCTAAATTCATTTCTGTGCATGTGCAAGTTCAGTAGTTCCAGCACCAATTGTCTCTTCTACGCTTCATTTTGATATTTTCTGCTAACCTATCTTCTAGTTATTTAATTCTCTCTTCAGTTGGATCTGTTCTGCTGTTAAACCCTAACACTAAGTTCTTAATTTTGGTTTAGGGTTTGTCAGGGTGAGAATTTCTATTGGGTTATTTGCCAAATCTGTTTTGTCACCTTTTATAATTTTCAGTCCTCTCCAACATTTTAAAAGTTTTATCTTTTATCTGTTTGAATATAATAAGTATAGATATTTTAAAGTTCATGCCTAACAATTTGAACATCTGAAGCATCTGTGGGTCTATTTCTACTTTTTATTATGTCTGCTAGTTCTTGTTCATGTTGCCTTATCTTGTAATGCACCTGTTTATCTTTGATTGTGTACTGGACATTGTATTTTTAAAAAGGTTTTTGGAATCTTTAGAGATTTAAGATTACATTTGCTTCTTCCAGGTGCCTATGGGGACCTGCACTCCAGGATCACTTTGATCCAATTTTAGTGCTTGAGATTTTTCTGGATCAGACAAGGATCTTGCAACAGCCACACAGCAATCCATGTGAGGACTGGTTTACTGCTGTTTCACCTTTATACCCCACCCAAGGCTGGGTCTCAATCCACTTTGCCAACCCAAAGTATAAGGAGTTTACCAAGGACTCCACCTCTGGCAGATCCTAAACTTCAAAACTTTTGTCCCCCTGAACCTCCTAGGCCCTGCAAGGCTGTCAGAAACACTGCTCTGTCTTTAAGGTGCTTTTAACTGAAAGGCATACACCCAAACGACAGGTTCACCTCTCTATATTTCCACCTTCTCTTGGATCTTGGTCTGGCAATTCCCCAACTAAGTTGGTATTTCTCCAGTGCCTTAAAGCATAAAAGTATTAAAAAATATTTTGTCCAGTCCTAGCTGTCCTCAGTTCTGCAGAAGTCAGAACAGGACCCGTCATCCTACGACTTCCATAAATATTCTGCCCCTTTAACAAACTGATTTTATATTATATTGTGCATATGTTCCCTATCCCACCCTCACTAGAATGCTAGGATTGGGTCTGATTCATGCAGCACTTGTCCCCTGCCTGGAATAATTATGTGTTAAATTGAACCAGCCAGTCTTCTCTGATGCTTTTGCTAATTATTCATGTCAAAATCTCATTGTTTTAAATCAAAAAAATTTCATGCTTATATAATCATCATTAAAAACACCTTTCCTTTTCCCATTTGCTTTCAATGTTTACAGTTTCTGCAGGACAAGGCCTTAACTATTTTAGTGTCAATTTAAAAAATTTGACTCTATTGTGTTACTTATTTGATTTCAAGACGATCTTTGTACTTTCTACATGTGCCCTATGGCACATATGGCATGCATAGATATATTTAAACGTGGTGATTTAACATTCGTTATATTTTGAAAATGTCATGACACTTCTTAGGAACTATCAATAATGATACCTAGTGAAACCATTAAGCTATATATCCTGGATAGAAAGAAACCAGAACATTTCTGCGTATAAAGCAATTAGTGATTTTTAAAAAAAACGTGTTTTTGTGTCTCTTTCATTTCATTGCTTCTCCTTCACTAAGCAGTCATATGTGGAATTGTTCAGGATTTCATTGCCCTTCTTTGTGGGGGAAGAATTAAATATATCACAAGGTGGACTGTCTGTTCTGAAACCTCTAGGGACCAACAGCAAGGGAAAGAAGAGGTACTTAAGGGGAACTCACACCTTTCTGAGTAGCAGAGACACTGTTTTGGTCGAAATTTCAGGGACTATATCCATATCAATAATTGCTCAGAGAGAACCTCCTAATCCCCCAGATTTGGCCAGGATGACAGTGCTCATACTTCTACAATATTATATATTTCCTCTTTCTTAAAAAATCTCATAGTATTTGTTCGATGTGTGCCTTCCCTGCTGAAGCTGAAACTCTTACACAGTGTCAAAAGAAAATCCTATATTGCCTTCAATAAACACAGAAGATAACATTTAGCATTTTAGTGGGTTTCCATACTCCAAAAGCCAAATTGGATTTTCCTTCATAACGCCAGAGGTAAGTAAGCCTAATCTATTCTGGATCCTTACTGTCTTAGATTCTGACCATGTAATGTGTGTGGGTGTAGCCTGTCTCGATCCCATTTCAGAAACCAAATCTATAATCAGTATCATTGGTCAGGGGCTGGTCAAATTTCTCCTTCCTTTTGGCACTAAGTGTCCCTTTGACATCCAATAAAATAGTCACCGGTAACAAAACCAGCCTTCAATTATTCAGGATTTGGTCATTCAGATCCCCGGCTTCTCATATACTTTTCCCCCATCTACTCTCTAACTTTTGGGCTTCTCACTGGTAAACATGGCATCAAAGGTTGGCCAGAGCAAGGTGGACAATTCCAATTAGTGGACTTGGTGATTGGCGAGAAACTCCAATGTAGCACATAGAATTGGTGGATGGTTGAAACTCTATCTAATGATGATATCAACTATTCTTAGTAGGACACAGAAAAGATAGTTTGCCCACTTAATAATCATAGTTACCACACTATCATTCTATGATATTATCATTTTTGTCCTCTCACTTTCTTTGTTGTTAGTGACATCAAGTCGATTCTGACTCCTAGCGACCCTGGGTACAGCAGAGCAGCACCCTGCCCAGTCTTTTTGTGCCATCCTGTCACCTTCCGGCACTGTATCAGGCAATGCTCCACTGCTATTCATAGGGTTTTCACGGCCAATTTTTTCAGAAGTGGGTGGCCAGGTCCTTCTTCCTAGTCTGTCTTAGTCTGGAAGCTCTGCTGAAACCTGTCCACCACGGGTGACCCTGCTGGTATTTGAAATACTGGTGGCATAGCTTTCAGCATCACAGCAACATGCAGCCCCCACAGTATGACAACCAACAAACGGGTGGTGTGGTTCCCTGATCAGGAAACGAACCTGGGTGGCAGTGGTGAGAGTGCCGAATCTTAACCACTAGACCACTAGGGCTGGCTTTCCACTTTCCAGGTGGTGATATTGTACAGTCCCAGCTCGTCCACTTACTCAATCTGTGAATAAGGACACGCTATTTCATCTCTCTGAGCTTCATTTCATCATCAATAAAATAGAACAGTAACCTGACAGGTTTGCTCTGAGGACCAGAGCATTAATTCCAAGAATGAAATAATGTATGAAAGTGCTTTATAAATGGAGAGGAGCATTCTAATTTATATCACTACCAAAATTAATTATTTGTTTGTGGTTTAAGTTTTACATTAGAATGCTGATTTTTCTTCTCAAGGGGTAAGATGTTCCGTATGGGTTATTGTGATGGATAAAATCCTAGATTTTTGCACAGTTAGCCAGCACGCATGCCAAATTCCACATAAGTGCTTACCTTGGGAGGTTTCCTTACGATGGAAACAAAAAATTTCAGCAGCAGAAGTAGAGAGGGTTGTCAACACAGCAGCCACATCAGAGGGAAGCAATGAAAGAGAAAAAACATAAGGGAAACTCAGCATCTTGATAACATGATCTGAAAGACACGCTACCTCACAAAGATCAGAAGCCAAATTCACTTCACTGCCTGAAGTGATAAACTCTTATGTTTGCTAAAAAAACACAGCACAGGCATAATGAATTTCTTTCCTGGTTTAATAGAATGGATACAGTCACTCAGAAGTATTTTTAATGATTCTAAAAAAAGCCAACAGAAGAGCATCAAGATAAAGAAAGATGCTGCAATTATACTGCATGTGGTCAAATACTTTTAAAACAATTTTCATACTTAAATTTTTCTTAAGTTGGTATTAAAATATATGTACATTTCCTTTGATAAATATTCTATATGGGACTTTTTCCCATTTAAAAACCATAGTTCTAGATGACAATTTTGCACATATTTCAACCTTGAATAGAAGTTTATTAGCTAGTTATATCCTTCTCTCATCACCAACCACACATGCACTTTTTTAACATTCATTTTTGTACTTTAATAACTCAAAAATGACTGAAATTGCACCCGGAGAAAACTCTGAAAAGAAAATAGTTTTCAAAGTAACAAACCATTAGGCAGACTTGCTTTGTAAATGTTTTCCTCATGTACAAAATTAAGGGCTATACTATGATTTTTATAGTACGTGATCCTATGACACTTCTTGGCCTTCCTGATGTGGTTATTCTGAATTAGCCTCCAATATCATCAATTCATAAACTATAAAATTACTATTAAATAGGAACAGGGGAATTTGTTCCACGGCTTTAACCCTTCTTCATAGGGAACAGAATCATGAGGATAAGAAAATGGATTTTCCAGGGCAGAGGGCATGGAAATCAAAAGGTGCAGGCAAAAATAGCATAGTGCCTTTTCTCCATCATTGAGTCCAACACTCCTCAGAGAGCTCTGAGAGCCCCAAACAAAACCCAGAGCTCAGCAGCAAGGACAGACAGTCCGTGGATTCCACAATCAGGCAGACAAATCTAAACTTTTAAATCCAGGGAAAGAAAATCATGACCTTCCTATAATGAGGAAGCTGAAACATCATCTTCCTGAAATTCTATGAATTAGCTGAAAGGAAACGAGCCCTTATGTCATCACCGCTGACAGTCAGGCACCATGGGAATGTGACTTTGTCTTCAGGCTTTCTAGGGGAACTCTGTCTAGAGTAACTGGTATCCTGGCTGCTGTCAAGCAAGTCTCAACATTCTGTGTGTCTGCCCTTTAAAACAAGATAAACATTTATACATGTTGTAATAAAAACGCATGAGTGTTTTTAATTCTAGGAAAGCCATGGATATTTGCTCTGTATATAGAGCCTGAGGTTTCTGCCAAGAAAATTTCCTTAAGTGGAACACTGCTCTGGAAAGCATCTGTTCTGAGCAGGTAGAATAATAATGAAAACTTCATGCACAACACTTTAGACTAAGCCTTCTCTTATTTTGCTTGCCTTATTTTTCAAAGCCATTTAAATCACTACTTCATTTAACAAAGCAAAGCAAAGTCACTTGGGTTACAATAAGGCAATCATATGTTACAGCATGGACCAAGTTAATAAAATATATGTTTCACATTGAGGCTACAATAAACCAAGTAACCTAACGGGGGTGGAACACGCTAAAAGGAATCCAGGGATCTCTCCAGAGTTCTCGTGTGCTTCCTTTATGTCACAACTATCAAATAATCATCACCAGCACAAAGAACAAGTGCTGGTTTGTAACCAGTAGTATATTTACCTCCTTAGCTGTCTAATAATAAAGCTATCTATCCTTTCTTCCTTGACATTCCAATATGGTTTTCTTTATTCTTCTTAGGAAACCAATCCTATTTCAGCATTTTAAGTACTTTAAAAGTATATCCCTTTCACTTAGAAAGACAGCACATAGTATGAGAATGCCAATATAATTCTGCTACCTTCTTTTGTGTTTCTGACTACAGACTCTTTATTAAGAATAAATGGAGACTGGGCAGCAGAGGGAAAAGGGAAGCTACTAAGTTCATCTGATGCTACCTAACTTTACTTATCATTTACTTTAGAACAAGGATCCTTACTACAGAAGGAAAATTCTGTCATTCAGTGCATCACAACTGTACTTCATTAATTGGTAAACCTTCCGTGAGGTGTCAATTAGGTGACAAGCAACTAAGTCATCCTAATTCTGAACCATAGTTTACTGCTGCAATCCCCAGAGGCTATATATCGTTCTTTGGTAGTTCTGAAGAAAAATTGTCCCAATATGAGTAATAGTGATACTATAATCAAATACAGTGTAATAGTGATACTATAATCAAATACAGAAAATGTGATATTATAAAGATAAAAATTTTCATACATATATATATAAAAAAGATGAATAATACAAACATCTATCAAAAGCATAGTATTAAATATATTTTCTAAAAATTATGGCCTTTCGTTGATTATATCAATAAAGTCTTTTTATTTATTTATTTTTCCCCCAAAGTCCCAGTAGATAGTTGTATGTCATACCTGCACATCCTTCTAGTTGCTGTATGTGGGACGCGGCCTCAGCATGGCCGGAGAAGTCGTGCGTCGGTGCGCGCCCAGGATCCGAACCCGGGCCGCCGGCAGCGGAGCGCGCGCACTTAACCGCTAAGCCACGGGGCCGGCCCTCAATAAAGTCTTATCAACAAAGAGTTCCGTCTGTCAGGTCCAGCCCATTGCTGAGACACCTGTATGGCTCAATTCCCTGGCAATATCCAGGCTAAGGCAATATCCAGGCTAAGGCAATATCCGTGGCTAAGCCAACATCCAGTGAACTACAAAGAACATTCCCTCAAACAGACCTCATGACCCGCAGACACAGGCTTGGTGGCTGACTCATTAGAAAACAGAGCATTCCACTGACTCTTGGCTAAAGGCATGTGTACTCCTGACCACTCTCCACTGCTCATCCTCTCATTCATCCTCAAAAAACTCCCGGTTTTTAATTATGTGAACCTCTGTAAGTTATCAGGAGATTTCTGTGTGTGTATTCCAAACAAATAAACTGAACACAATCCGACATTTTTAGAAGCCAGCAATGTAGTAATGTGTCTACGTACCAGGATTTGGAGAGAAAATAAGGAGGTGCAGTTCTACACTGATAGTTGCTCTCTTTTGCAAAACACTGAAGCTTCCCTTCTCTCCTGGGACAAGAGAGTCAATGCATCTCTTCAAGTCACCCACACCATGTGTATTCACCACACAACTCACATAATTTCCATGCTTTTATCCCACTTCTGTCTCTCCACTCTGCCTGATCAAATTTTCCTACTCTCTAAGACCCAGCTCAAGGCTCAATTCTCTCAACTCCTCACCAATTCTTTGAGACCACCTTGGCCTTCACCACCTCTGATACTCCAGGATTCCTATGGTCACCAAAACAGCTTAGCGCTTACTGGCACACAACTCCTGTAGCCTTCAGTAATTTTGTCTGTGTTTGAACTTGTGTATCCTTAGGATTCAAACCTCTTGAAATCAGAGGCCATGCCACATGCTACTTTCATGATCTCTGTCCCCAGTCTCACATACTCATGGAGGACTGAAAGCATTACAAGAACTCAGAAGTAATTTTTTACTTTTAGTGAGTTAAACATAATCCAGATGTGAGGATTTACTTCAATCACCACAACAATCCCATGATCTCACAATTTTGGGGCAAGACTGCTTACAGTTAATAGCAGGGAAGACTTCAGAGATTGTTAGAAATTGTAGACTATTTCCAATGACTTATTTAAAAATAATTATTTCTCTAGACCAGCATTTCACACAGAGAAGTCCAACAGGCTATTAACAAGGGTCAAGCTTTCAAAAGCTTCCGAGATCAACAAAGTTCAGAAATGCAGGTTCAGTTTGATGAGACTAGAAGATATATATAAGCACTAGGAAATAGGACTATAAAGATAAGTTGGATCTATATTGGGCCAGGTCTCAAAATGAGGAATTGGTATTTAATTTAGTAGGTAGTACAGAGCTGGAAAGTTTAATAAGACAATGAAATAAAGAAAGCAGTATAATGTGTTACAATATGTTACATATGTTACAACAACCCTATATAGCTAGAGTTCTTTCCCCATACTTCACATCAATAGATTTCTGGAGTCTTTCAGTCTTTTGTCCATTATTTACAGCCTATTGAACATAGCTAGCTACTTAGAAGTCAAATGGCCAAAGACCCCGATGTGCACAACAGCCAGTACTAACATCAGCCAGTACTTCAAGAGACGTGAATGATCAGTATCTTCTTCTGAAACAGAAATTTGGCTTCCATGTATTAATTATTTTACTGATTGATTGTTGGAAATTGTCACAACCTATATCTGAAAAATATCCAGCTAAACGATACTTGGTTCCTAGAGATTAGTCTAAGGACATGTTCTTTACGAAGTCCCCGATTATCACTTCCAGCTTGGAGAACTAAACCCTGGGTCACCAATATCATCCAAGAACTCTGTTAACTAGCAAGTATTTACCGAGCACCAATTCCCACACTGCACATTATAGATGCTTTGAGGGATATTTAGAGGAATGAAGCATAGTCTCCAACCTCAAGAAGCTTAACACCTTGTGAGAGAAACAGATACATACATGCATAAGTATTAAATGGACTGTGATAAGTGTCACAGCACAGATATGAATGAAGAGCTATATTCTGTCAACAAATATTTATCACCCACTCTGTTGAGATGCAAAAATAAATTAGACATGTTGCCTTTCAGACAACAATAAACTGAACTTGTACACATCTAGTACAATAAAATGTGATGTACACAGCAGCAGCCCCAAAGGAGGGTGAGGTCAACTGGGAAAGAGGGCAAGTTTCTCAGAGGAGAAAACCCCTGAGCAGAATCTAGAAGGCGGGACAAAGTCATCAAGCTGACAAGGCAAAGAGATGGCATCCAATAGCAGGA